ATTTTGCACTAACAGGATTAAAATCTAACTTGTTCATTGGCTGAATAGTGGAAGTTGAAATTCAAAAATTAAAATAAAACTGAAGTCGTAATTGTTTTCTCTCACTTTCACATTCAGATCTCACAAACTTTAACCTACTCCACGCGAATAAAATGCAATCTGCACAGGATTTATTGTCGATGGACTAATTAGACTAAAACAAACAGAAATGAGTAACGTGACATTTATTATCAACAAATGAAGCTATATAATATGGTAATTTAACTAGGTGATTTATGACGAAACGAGGAATCGTGATACGTCACGCGAAGTTTCGCGCCCTCTCCTTTGTTGTTGCAACATTCTACGATGTCCATAGAGTAAACACAGTAATTAGTAAATATAACAAAAAATTACGTGGACGAACTGTGTTCCCGCATTTTCCATTTGCATATTTAGTTAAACGATAATGCGTATCGAACGAAGCTGTGGATACGTATAAATAAAACAAAACTCACTTAATTTTGTATACAAGAAATTAAATTTTTGGTAAGCATGATAAATTAGTAGCAAAGAGTCACAAAAAGTGGACGAATTGTTACCAGAGAATGAAAGAAAAATTACAGTCTTTTAAAATTTGATATTCGCGTAAATATCCGCGATCTAATTATTATTCATCTAATTCTAATTTATAAAAATAAGTTTCATTCGTTAAAGAAAGTGTTCTATAATGATCGTTTGAAATGAAATAGCTAACGTCTAATAAAAAGGCCAGCTTCAAAATCGTCCTCGACAAAGTTGAATGGAAAAAAATCGTTGAAAACCGACGAAGAAGGATGGAAAACTTTCTCGTTACATTGTACTGCGTAATTAACACGCGAACTATGTGTGCATATCTACAAACAACAAACGATAATCCTCGTGTTATGAATCACCGATAGCAATCGCGACAGGTATCTTCGTCGGAATTCAGGAGATGCAGCGTGAAGCTTTTATGAATTCCACACGGAAGTGAAAAGCTATAGATGTAGAAAATGTAAAAACTATGTATAATAATTTTTATAAATAACTCAACGACGAATAATTTTCTATTTTCTTCTTATTCCTGCGTGAATATTTTTATTTTATACTTTCCAAAAGACTCTCATAATGTTCTATTTCCTGTCCTCCATTTATTGCTATCACAGAATCAAAGACTTTGTTGTTTTACAAAATGTAATAGGGCGATAAAACTGTATCGAATTATAAATACCTACAGATCACTTGATCGTTATATACACAAGGTAGTACAACCGGGGCACGAGGTTATCTACATGCAAAAACAAATCGAAAATATTCACTAAAATTTTGTCCTACGATCCTGTGTTTTGAAAACTTACTGGATAACACATGATAATTGTATAGGACATTGGTTAACGCGTCTGTTCATCACATTCCGTTTCTACTTAGTCACCAATATACACGTCTACACTCGATCCAATTTCCAAGCGAGGAAAAAATTTCTTCTTCATTTCGACTTGTTTCTCAGAGACCCACCTCCTGTCAGATTGCACTAACCTAGACCAGAGACACCATATACATGTAAACTACTGGTATCGAATTAATTAACAAGTGTCTCTGATAAAAAAATATAATGAAAAATTAAACTCTATGTTTGGATCAAAACTGATTCGATCCGACTGCACCAGAGTTAAATTAATCAACTGAAACAGACAAATACGTGCCCTCGACCTGAGAAACGAGAAGAAAAGAAAAGGAAATGAAGCAAGGTGAGTCCGCGATATTTATTGAAAATTGCCCTTACTTGAGCGGGGGAGAGAGGTCGCGCGTATAACAAGCGTCCGCGGTGATACGGGAGCCAGCGGGATGCCGGTGCAACACGATTAATCGTTAAAAAATCGTCGGTTCTATCGGACTGTAGGATCGAAATGGCGTTGCCGCATGCGACCGTATTAACATACGGCATTAGGTATTCCGCATGCGAGCCCGCGGCTGGCCGAGCTTTACTTGGATTTCTGCGGCAATTACACGCGCCTAATGGCCGTCCTTCGCGGATATCGATACGGTTTGCGCGAAACCGCGACCGGGCTTCGAATTAACGCTATCGGGGAGATAAGCTTCCACGATGGTTATACGGATTAACGAGCGAGCACACGCATGCAAACAGAAAACGCGACCACGAGCCTGCGGCACTCCTGACGACTGGTGAGAGTCCGCGAACAAAGTGCTTCAAACATGCTTCAAACATGTCGTGTGTAAACTTTTTTAAACGATTGGTTGAAACGTTTCCAGTCGATAAATATTGACTGTAAAGCCTCAGATACCGCAGTACTGGTCCGTAAAACAAAGTGCTTCAAACATGCTTCAAACATGTCGTGTGTAAACTTTTTAAACGGTTTGTTGAAACGTTTCCAGTCGATAAATATTGACTGTAAAGCCTCAGATACCGCAGTACTGGTCCGTGGACAAACTGCTTCAAACATGATTAGTCTTTTGTGAATGTGAGAAATTTGACCAGTCCAAACCGAGTTTGATTTTGAAGATCATATGTAAACTCTTCAAACAGTTTGTTGAAACGTTTCGAGTCGATAAATACTGTGAAGCCTCAGATATCGCAGTACTGGTAGCGGGTCCGTGGACAAACTGCTTCAAACATGATTAGTCTTTTGTGAATGTGAGAAGTTTGACCAGTCCAAGCCGAGTTTGATTTTGAAGGTCGTATGTAAACTCTTCAAACAGTTTGTTGAAACGTTTCGAGTCGATAAATACTGTGAAGCCTCAGATACCCCAGTACATATTAGTAATGGGTCCGCGGACATACTGCTTCAAACATGATTGTTTTTTCGTGAACACGAAAAGATTGAATGGTCCAAGTCGAATTTGATTTTGGCGAGACGACCTAACTGAAGGTCGTGTGTAAACATTTCAAATCGTTTGTTGAAACATTTCGAACATCAAACGTTTCAAATCGCCAGCTAAATGATTGTGAAGCCTACAATACCCCGCTACTAGTAGTGGGTCTACCAACAAACTGCTTCAAACATGTTCGATATTTTGTGAACACGAGGAGTTTGAAAACAGGAATTTATTTGGAGTACACGTAACGTTACGAACAATACAACGGTTATTCTGACGCGACAGCGTCACACGTTCCAGATACTCGCGTCGAAATAAGGACTCGCGATGGAAATAGCGGGTTCGTCGTCGCGTAAGTACGCGAATCGTGGTTGCGTGAACGTCCACTTCCGTCGATTTACTTCACGCCGGGTCTGTCCGCGATATAATAAAGAGAGGACGCGTGCGATGCACAGGTTGCCGTAATCAAAAACCCATTAGATGCACGGTTTTTCAGGAATTCGAAGTGAAATGGGTCGAATTTAATAATCCTCGCGAACTGATGAGCTTGGGGATTTTCGTGAAACGAGATTAATCGTAAAGACAAGAATGCAAAGCTCGCCTTACAATAATCGAGGAACAAATTATTTTTTCTCCTGCGTATAGAACAAGACCTGTCATTATTTTTTATTAATAAGATGCAAACGATTTGATCAATTATACGTAATTAGTCATACATAATTATTATTTTGATTAATTACTTAGTTACTCTAAAAAAAAAAAAAATAATTAATATGAGCAAAATAATTAATATAAATTAATATGAGCAGCGAACGATCCTTGGATCTCTCAATTATCAACCAATTACCAATCTTTGCCAAAATACAAAATCATTCTATCAAAGCGCCACTTTAGTCTCTCCTTAGAATCAGGTGTTTGGTTATTCTAATACTCCAGAGATTTTAACCTATTCAAGGACGAATCTATTTAGACCAGAAAGAATACTTTTTTTATTCTTCGTCCGTACTGAATTAAAATATATTTATAAATATTAACGACAATCACTTGGTAGAATATTCTTTTTTATTAAGGAATGTCCTAATTCAATTATTCAATTATTCTAATTCAAAAATTCAATTATAGTTTCAAAATACTACTTGAATGAAAGAAAAACTAAACGTGCCAGTATCCCTCAAGAAATTAACTATTCTATAGTAGAAAATCACATTTCGAATAGAATACTGTCAATTTTATAAAGCAAACAACGACCACTATTGAGTGCCTATACCTATAACTCTACAGCACCCACAATCTACCTGTCGACCACCTCTCCACAAAGTTTCATCGAAGTCAGTGCGTGACGCGTGCAATCCCCATGTGTCAATGCATTTCCTTCGCTTCCTTCATCACACGACGTTACGTAATCCCTTTCCTGGACGCTACCATTGCCTCCAATACCCAACACACAAACTTCATCTTCCTACAGTACAACAGAAAATGGTCCACAAATTGTGTCTTATATTAGTAAGTGTATCGATAAGTAATTCACTACTTTTTAATCACACTCAATATCTACTAGCCAAAAATTCGCACTGCTTCATTAATTTTCTAGTAATCCCACGCCACTTTTAATAAAAAAATCGGAAAGATATTTTTATCCTTCAAAATATTGTCTCATTATTCGGAGAAAAATCGGGGATTATTTATTAATACACTTAATAAAACCAATCATACCTACATTTCACATTACAAGTTTCATCTTCATCTTTGACAGGTCGATCGTCCAACGGTTCAATTTCGATTTCCCAACGATCACATAACACCTCGAAGCAACGATCGAAAGGACCCGTTCACCCAGTCGATCACGAAACAATATTAGATCCTCGATCATGGTGGATTCATCCGATCAGGGTTAACCTAAACACATTCGACGGATCAATTTTCCATGGATCGAACGCGGTCGATCGGAACCGCCGTACTGTCTCCCGATAGGCCACGGAGTTATCCCCCGGACGGCGGTTGTCCGCGGCGAGCACGTTTTTGCGAATGCAAAACGAGACGCAGAAGCGTAATACTGGACGATGAGGTGCAGCGAAAGTGCAGAGCCATTATGCTCGCCGTGTATATAAGGCTCACTCTGGAAAACGAAGCGGTTCAGCCACCGCAAAACACACGCGAACTCAACGATGAACATTAAGGTAAGCATATACATATACATACACGTATACACTGAGAGGACACGCAGTCGGATCTGTACGATCGTCTACGCCAGTGGTGGCGAACCTTTTTACGTGCGCGTGCGAAAAATTTATAAATGATATGTATCGAGTTGCTGACGTGCCTAGGAATTTTTAATAGGGGAAACATTTAATAGAAAATTAATTATCGCGGAATTATATTGAGATGATTTTGAGAATTAATATTGATTTTCATGAAGATGAACTCGTAAGTGTCGTAAACTTTGCTGACGCACCTAGGGATTTTTAATAGGGGAAACATTTAATAGAAAATTAGTTATCGCAGAATTTTGTTGAGATGATTTTGAGAATTAATATTGATTTTCATGAAGATGAACTCGTAAGTTGTAAACTTTGCTGACGCGCCTAGGAATTTTTAATAGGGGAAACATTTAATAGAAAATTAGTTATCGCAGAATTTTGTTGAGATGATTTTGAGAATTAATATTGATTTTCATGAAGATGAACTCGTAAGTTGTAAACTTTGCTGACGCGCCTAGGAATTTTTAATAGGGGAAACATTTGATAGAAAATTAATTATCGCAGAATTTTGTTGAGATGATTTTGAGAATTAATATTGATTTTTATGAAGATGAACTCGTAACTTGTTGTATACTTTATCGTATAAAAATCTATATCAATTGTTTATTAATGAGATTTTTGCTGTTATACATTAGGTGCCAAATCCTTTATATCAGGTTCACATTTCGTGATTTTGAATAATACACCCGCTGAATTAGATTCATCTATCATTCTATTCCTTAAACAATCGTTTATAAAATTCATTTGGAAAATAAAATTTACTTGTATATATTATAACAATTAATCAAAATCTGAATAATTTATAAGCGTATAAAATGATATCACGTGCCAGCAAAACTTTTTGCAGTAACTTGATTGTTTATATCATTTAAAATTATCAAGTGTGTCCACCTAATATTTCACATATACCATTAGGAACCTGTAGACATCATCTTACAAAACCCCATTAAAATCCGAATCGGAAAATTGGGGTCCTTCCCTTATGAGTTCCCAACCGTACAATTATCTCCGTCCTTTCACAAAAGATAATCCTAAAGTTTCACAAACATTAGAATCTCGCTGCTTTGAACGTTTAAACAAAATTCCCAATTTCTTCAGCTGACCAATGATAAACCTCCACTTGCTACCTGTCCACCGCCACAAAACACACATCCACCCAAACACACACACGCAGTATCACAGCTACCAAACATCTAGGAAAGCCTAAGCTACACAATCTTTCCAAAAGAACACACGACCGAAAGCCTCAACTCGCACCAAGCGACAACCTCACGATTTCAGAACCAGTGAAAGCCCAACAAGACTCTAACCATCACCCATCCGTTTTCTCCTCAGATCGCCATCGTCCTGGTGGCGCTGGCCACGCTGTCGAGCTGCACAGACGAGTCGAAATCGTCTAAGAAGAACTCGTCGGCCGAGTCCACCGAGAAGAAGACCGAGAAACGGGGTCTCCACGGTAGCTACGGTGACCTAGGCGGTGGTGGGGGTGACTACGGCGGAGGTGGAGGCGGCGGCGGTGGTTCATACGACCACCACGAGCACGTGAAAACCGTCACAGTGGTGAAAAAGGTCCCGGTACCATACGAGGTCACCAAACACGTCCCCTACCTTGTCGAGAAGCATGTGCCGTACGAGGTGAAGGTCGGCGTACCCCAGCCGTACACCGTCGAGAAACACGTCCCCTATCCTGTGAAGGTGTTCGTGAAGGTGCCAGTCCACGTGCCTCAACCGTACACCGTCGAGAAGAAGGTGCCGTACGAAGTCAAGGTACCAGTGGACAAGCCGTACGAGGTGAAGGTGTTGGTCCCGCAGCCGTACACCGTCGAGAAACACGTGCCGGTCCCGGTGAAGGTCCCAGTACCCCAACCGTACACCGTCGAGAAACACGTGCCGTACACGGTGAAGGTCAAAGTTCCGTTGCCGCAACCGTATCCGGTCGAGAAACCGGTACCGTACGAGGTCAAGGTGCCCGTCGACAAACCGTATCCTGTCCACGTGCCGAAACCGTATCCTGTCCAAGTGCCGAAACCGTACCCGGTGCCGTACGACAAGCCGGTACCGTACGAGGTGAAGGTACCCGTCGACAAACCGTACCCGATACCGGTCGAGAAGCCTTACGCGGTGCCAGTTAAGGTACCCGTTCCCCAGCCGTACACCGTTCACAAGCCTGTACCCGTCTCGGTACCGAAACCGGTACCCTATCCCGTCAAAGTACCCGTGGACAAGCCCTACATCGTGGAGAAGGAAGTACCGTACGCGGTTGAGAAAGAGGTCCCTGTACCCGTCAAGATACCCGTGCCTGTACACATTCATGACGATCATGGTGGCAACGGTGGTGGTGGTGGTGGTGGGGGTGGTTACGAAGGGTACGGTGGGCTCGAAGATGGTGGCGGGTACTACTCGCATCACCGTTGACTGGGTTCAGCGGGATAGGTGATCGGTCGGGTTCTTTGTCTGTCGAGCTATGCGCGCCTGATGGATCTCCGATGAATCTTTTCCCTTTTCTATCTAAACACCCTCCTCCCCCCCCCCCCCCCCCCCCACGTGTACGAGGAAGTATCGTTGATAAAAGTATATCCTGAGTATGTTTGTATTGTTTCGGAGTAACGGGACCGGTATTGAAGGACGACTCCCGGTTTTATCGAGTCGTGGTTTCGCGGGTAACGTTCCCTCGACGCGTATTTAGAGGTTCTTGGTGGCTAGCCTTGAATGTAGTTATAAATGAAGTTGGGTGGGGGCGTGTTTTCGATGAGCCAATTGGGTTTTAGTGGATTTCTATGTGTATGATTTTGGTATTGAAAGGGGATTTTGGTCGAGTTTACTTTGATCATTTAGTTCGGAAAATTTGATCCCGTCCACTTTCGAGAATCACGAAATTTCGGGTCGATTTCGTTCAGGTTTCGAACCTGTTGTACGCGTTGAAAAATATTTTTTTTTTCAGAGGATATGCTTTTTGTATGACAGCCACGATTTCTTGTAAACACTATACGCCTAGTTGTGTATTGTTCTTGCTGTTCCAAAGAAAATGTCCACGTCGGCTGCCCGGGCGATCTTTGTCGCGCGCGTAACGCTGGCCGACGTGAAGCAAAAGCGACGTCGCGCGATTCCGATCACGCGTCGGCGAGAAACACTTGTACCTAATTTAAGTTAAGACATCCCGAGCGAAGCAGAATCTCTTTTTTTTGTATCAAAGATTTTTAATAAATGTTTGTCTATCATGAAACGTTGCCTCACGATTATCTCCTCGGAAAATAATACAGTAAATCCTGGATGAGTGTTCGAGGGCTCCTCGGCGGCGACAAGGAGGGGTTGGATGTGTGGAATTTGGAATTCTGAAGCCAATGATACTTGTTTCAGCCGCATATGGCCATTAGTTCATGAAATATTTAATGTTCAGTGCCGAGGACTATTCGAGCAATCATCAAGGATTTACTGTATATTTACTGTGAACATCTATGAGAACGATAGAAATAATAAATTGATACAGAAATTCTGTATCAAAGAACCAAAGATGAGTAAGGTTCTATTAACAATTCTCATACTAATTATCGAATAACAATTTTTTTAGATTGCTGTAAGATATGTGTATGTCAAAGGTAACTTGTTACTGAGACGTTCATGAACACTTCATACATAAAAATGTATGTTAATAGAAGTGTTTGATTATGAAATTTAATATAAAACTTCTCTGTACAGCCATTCAATCTTTTTTTATTACTATGTACTAATACACTATAATAAATTAAATTCATCGTAAGTAAATTAAAAAGTGACAGAACTAATCTTGATAGAAGCAGTATAAACAGTTTTTATAATCAACGTCGGTTATTGAAACTTTTTACAGAAGAATATATATCACTATACCTGGATGCAAATGTACAAACTAATATGTGTATGTAATATATACATGGTATTTGCAATTAGTGTCATTTCTGCTTAGATGACTGACCATCCTATGGTCGAATCACTGACGACCCGTCAACGAACAGTTTACAAAATACTGAAAGCAAATACTGTCTAACACACTATCACTATTTTAGTTTCACTTAGAAAATATGACATGTCAAAATAACCATAGTCTTTTTTCCGCAATGAAGGTCATAAAACAGACAAAATTCATGATGGTGTATCAAAAAATTCCGAAAAAGTGAAATATAAAATGAAAAAGAGTAAACCATTCTCCTTCGTGTGTTTATACATATTTCCGAATATTTTTATACAATATTAAATATAATACGTATTTGTGCAATCTTATTATGGGTCACAATTGACCCAGTTGTCGAATCTAGTTCTAACGAAGTCTATCCAAAAATATCCCACTTACAACGAAAACCATGATATATCAATTTTTTATTACTGTCTTCACGAATGCTTATCTTATCGAAACATGAAATTATTAAATCTTTCACTTTTTTCAAAAACTCATCGACCTATCTCAATCAAAACACTAAATAATGCCCATCTATTACGGTAGACTCGATGCCCCGTTCAGATTTCCTTCGTTCGATCTTCCGACAAAACTTCTCCCGCAACGACGCAACAATTTTCGCCAGGCCGCTAAAAGCGACCGCGCCTGAAAAGATTTCGCGCGTTAACGAGCTGACGCTTTCTCGAGTGAATCTGCCGGAAATCTCGTACCCGCCGTGGAGTTTCACTGTTACAAAATCGCCACGCATTTTCGCGTGTGTCATGAAAGAAAAAAGAAAAGAAAACGGTAGGGGTCAGTTTCTCGAAACGTCAAAACCTCGAAACCCTAGAAGGTTTCGAGTTTCCAGAATTCCAAACTTTGTACTTTTTTCGGGGTTCAAAATTCTCGAAACCTAGGCAAGAGAAAATATAAATTCGATGAATAAAGAATCGTTCGAGAATGTTCGATTCATTTGTATCACGAATATTCGGTACGAAATGCTTCGTGAATGCTCGATGATCGATTTTTGCTTTTAAGAATTGAAAATATAAGAGCTTGATGCATTTTTTGAAATATTTATTTATTTATTTCACGGAATAATTCTCATTGTAATACTAGAGAAAAAAAATGTAAACAAGTTTATATACTATAACTGGAAAATACAAAAGAGAAAAACAAAATGGTGACTATAAGACACTGTAAACTTGGTTTTTCAAAGATTGGATAGAGCCAATAAAAAAATGTTAAAACAATAGTTAAACATAAAAATGTTTAAACGAATAGTTTAATTGTAATAATACCCAAGCCTGGTTTCAAAAGCACCCCCTAAAAAAATAGCAACAGCGAAAGAAAAAGAGAGTCGAAAAAAGGAGAGTAACGAGTTACGTAAACGCGTCGCGGCCTCTTTCGCTCGAACGAATGGAAAAAGAAAAGCACAACACGAAAACCATCGAGGAGGATCCATGAACGTCCGTTTCCGCGTTCGCGTCGCGGTCCAACGAGTCGACAGAGAGAGAGAGAGAGAGAGAGAACACGAGAAATCGAGAGACACCGGAAGCGAACCGGATCCAGGCGTGCCAAGGAGGGAGAAAAAAAAAACGAAATGAAAGATGAATATTCTGACTCGGGGGCCGCTTCCGGGGCTCGCTTTCGATCTCCGAGAGAATCTTAATCGTTACAGGATCGCGATTAAGTACCGTGGATACGTGTTCAAGAAAGCATTCACTTTCACTCTCAGGCTTTTACACGGACGCGCACATGTTGCGGCGCGCGGGATCTCGTTTGAATCTGACGGCGTCCGTGTTACAGGGAGTAAAAGGCTCTTGCGTACGTATTTGCATAAAGATATGTAAACTCTCGTTAAATATGAAGTGAACTTCGTTTCATTTCAGTTGTTTATTTTGAAAGTTGTGCGAGTACACACTTTGGTCTAGTTCATTTGCAACTCTGGCAACCATATTACTGATTTTCTCGGAATTAAAGATACAGTAAATCATCGATGAGTGTTGGAAGGCTACTCGGCAGGGAACATGAAATATTTCATTCCTCTTTAATTTAATTAATTAGTTTTTCCGAATTCTTTCAAGGGAAATGTCCATTCATACCTTATAAACAGGTACGGATAATGAAAAATCTACTTTTTATGTGCTATATATTTGTTAATATCCTACTTTAATAGTTAGAAAATTTCTTAAATTTTCATTCATTAATACGTTTACACTATTTGCTTTTTAAATGTAATTTGCTTTTAGGGATAACTATGAGAATCAATAAAACATAGGAAACAAGTGCAGTAAATTCTCGATGAGTGTTCAAAGGCTCCTCGGCACTGAACATTAAATATCTCAAAAACTAGTGGTTATGTGCGGCTGAAACAAATATCATTGGTTTCAGAATTCCAAACTCTATCACTGTACTGAACTCCATTAACCATAGAACGACACCCTTCATTTTTTGGCGTCAGTAATACTGTGGGATCGCGGGCGACCCAAAACAAAACCTTAATATTTCAAATACTATTTAATATTTTCGAACTTTTCTTCTTTAATTCTTTTTTAAACACCTTAGGAAATAACAACTGCAAAGTGTAATTTATGTTAAAAAAAATATAGGAAAGGTAACGAGAATATTTCATTCTAATGTTTATTTTCACGTTTGGTGGCGTTCCAGGGTTAAAAAGTCAGCGTTACACCTGAGGATCTTTCCTTGTCAGTGCCTAAGAGCCTTCGAACATTCATCCATGATTTACTGTGTACATTATTTGGACACGAGGTTCGATCACGATCGAACGACGAAACGCACCGAAAGCTACCGATTCGCTCGAGCGAATTATCATCATCGGGCGATGTCAAACCGTTGTTCATTTTCTTCTTTCGTCGGTTATGTAAAAAGTTATGCGATACGGGAACTACCTACGAGTTACGACGATACATAACCGCGACGAAATACGAAAGTGCGCGTCTTATTAAACCGAGTGAACGAAGGCTTTCGTGAAAGTGAAAAAAAAGAAAAAAAAGAAATGAAAAGAAAAGAAAAGAAAAATCGCGACGATACCGCCATGCGTGAATTATAGCCGTGTACGTAGCCATCGTGGCCTCCCTTCCTGCATCGGGATCCCGTGTACTTCCGGTTTTCTATCGGCGCCTCGGTAATAAGAGGAAAGTTTCGTCGTTATTTTTTTTTTCTTCTTCTTCGTCTTCGTCTTCTTTTATTACCGTGCAGACTCGAAGCTCGAGCTGCACTTACGGGGAACCGCCGTTTCGTTCACTTTTACTCACCGAACCGATTTTCTTACTCTTTCACCGATTCGATCGAGCTGCGGCGAGCTCTTACGTGGGAACCTGATGATCCTTTAAAACGCTTTTATGAAGGCCGTTAATGGGAGCTGTTCAACGAATGACCCTCCGACGGGAATCCGCTTTAAGCTTTATGCACGTTATACGCGTTACGAGCGACTCGTGGATGAACGATTATTCAATTTTTAATACGTCGTTCGTAAGTAAACGTT